TTATTAAGGACCAAAAGTGAATCAGAGAAAGCGATTGAAAGTGGGTGTCCACTATATTTGCATTGAACATAGTATTTGACGAAATAATCAAGAATGTTGCAGTCTCGTTTAACGTTTTGCACATTGTCTTTAACACTGTATATTACATTGTATTGACGACATATAATAAGTATGTGAATATACATTCGGTATACAGACTGTACCTCATTAAAACAATATTTTGATTATATGTCAGTGGTTATAATTATATCTCAAATACTATGGATATATTAGTAATCCACTCCAGCTGCGTTATAAACCTTTGCACGCTGTACGTGGTTGATACGCAGATGTGGCCTGAGGCTGTTCAACCTAATTGTTCTGGGGTTGACATCAACTGGTTCGCGTGTGCAATAAGTCATCTCCATGGCAATCTAATCATTATGTAATACTTTATATCACCAAATTATGACGCAATACTGGACTTGATTGAATTTAAATAGCATATCTTATAGTTACATAATAAAACAATAATTGTTATTTGAGCAGTAGGTAATGTCACGCTTTATAGCGCGATTTGGTGATAGCTTTATATATACCGTACTTGCAATATGCACATGGAAATGCCAAGTGGAATAAAAGCAACATGCAATGAAACTGTCACAAAGTACAAAATATTATTACTGTTTAGTGTACTGTGTGAAAAAAAACTATGTGATATTTTCCAAGAAAATTATTGTTTACCAATTTTAAGACGGTAGCAGACAGCAATGCAAAGTTCAGTGTTCAAAATAAAACACACTTAGCAGGACTATAATGAAACAACTCTTGGCGTGTATATCATTCTCCGTCATAAAGGTCGACGTGTTCACAATATCAATAGTAAATGTGAGTGAAGATAACTATCAGTCACATATCGTTAGAGTCACGTACACAGTTTACTGCTTGGCATTATGGAGATTATTTATTTGATGTAGATTCCGTCTTTACAGCTGTATCTATGACACCGATCCTCTATATCTCCAAAACGGTTACTGATTTATATTGATGTTGTACTAGTATGGACAAAAGCAGTTTTCTTTGCAAATCGTTTACAAATGAGACGGATTATCGCGGTGATTGATTGTCTTCATGTCACACAGGTCAACAATTTCAACGTGCTAGTGATGTTTTTGTTCTCTCATCTGTGGGTTGTCATGGTTTCAAAAGTATAATAACATGCGGTAAAATAAAGTGTGATATATAGATCACCAACACCCACAGTTTAATGTATGATATGATCAATCCTCGCAAGCGTCGAAAGAAAAAAAATAAACGAATGCTTAATTCATTATATTTGTGTCACAGGTTATTAACGGCCACATTTGCTAATAGTGCAGTGAAGCATTCACAAATATTCAACTAACCTGAGTGTAAATTATATTACATATATTGTATAAAGATTGTAATGAGTGATCATTTGGCATGACTAAAGTACAAATCGACAATCGTAGAGATCGGAAGTCCCAGACATCATATGTATTAGCGCATTTATATATACATCTTATTTAAAAAACATACATGGTTCATTGACGAATGTGCATGATGTCTAACGAGCAACCTATGATTACAACCAGTACTAATAAATAACACCTACCTAGAAACTGGAAAAATGTCTTGAATGTGCTTTCTCTTAAAAAAATAACATTCTGTTTTGTATAGAAAATATACGTCTACAAAATCATTATTACACAATAACCATTGGATCATATCTAATACAAATATTTGTATTTTTTATAAATAGGGCATCATTACGTTGCAGACAGGGCTATCATCTTGTTCATGTTTTGTATTCGAGTTGCAGTGATAATATTTAAATAATATGCATATTAAAACAAATGCAAATGAGAAACCTAGTACACCAATCAGCCATTTACCCCTGGTTCTTGGCGTCTAGCCAATACAAATTATCACGAACCATGTTATATTTTGTTTGTGCACAGCCCGGTACGAAGTTAGATGAAAATGATCGCCAAATCTAATACTATGACGCGTATATATTTCAAATTTCTATATCTAATCATTTTTAGATTCAGGTATCCAAATCTGCGTAAACTAATATCGTTGTGACTATTATGTTCAAATGTATTACGTCTACAAATTCTGCGAAAAAACGCAGGATGATTAGTGCTTGCTGAGTAGTGCGCATTAATTAATCATTTTGTTGTCAGGATTAAAACAAAGATATACACTAATTTGCATATTAGAGTTGATACATTGATAATTTAAATGAAATCTTTTGTGACCAATGTTTTGGCATCCAATAAAATATAGATGATTGGGAAGCATCTAATGATGACTGTGTGGTTTATTAATTATTTAAAATACATGTAAATATGCAAATTTAGTCAGCATAACAATACAGGTTGTCAATTTTGATCCCTGTTTTAAGTATGTTCGATGTATAATAGAACTTTGAAATAAGTAGATATACCTATGGATAAAACGTCCATTTTGTTTACCATGAACCTAAAAACTCTACTACATCTTAACCTGTAATACGACTGAGACAAAGCGGACTGTGAATGTGTCTTAGTATGCATGTTGTTGGTGTAATTAAATACTACTAAATACTGCTACAATGGAAACTACGTTAGAAAATTTGAATCCATTCTTGAAAGTTATTTATGTGAACAGCGTCTCATTTAATTTTGACCTCAGTTGCTCGAAGTTTATCTTATTATAAACTGATATATTACTGGAACAATTCATTCATCGCACGTACCTATGTGTCACAGGGTTGTCTGTATGTGAACATAGACATATTGAACTTCAAAACCATTGCTAAATTGCAAAGAGAACATTTTCCTCCGTCAATGAAATTCATCAAATATTTTGTTTTAATGAATTCATTCTTAAAAGTTGTTGAGTAGCGTATATTGTATGTATTTAACCATTGTTGCAGTTAATTATTATGTAGATCCTATTACATTACAGAAATACTTTATGACGAAGAATTTTATAATGTTGATTCTATCATAAGACCGAAAAAACTTAAGTCAATTAATTTTAATATTATTCGGATCTTCCGTATTGGCGGTCTTGCTTCATGAATCTAAATTTATTTTAATTGCGAATGTGAACGTGTATTATTTTAACAGGTTACAAAACACAATTTCTAATTTAAATTAAATTAAATTGTGTATCATTCAACTGCAATGGGATTAAATTATTTAGGCGGAATTAAAATGTTCAATATTAATCTGCGATCGTTAGGATGCCAAAGCGCCCACTGTACCAGAAACTATTTTATATGCACATCTTATTTCTTTTTTTATTCAATAAATTATAATATTTCTGTCCTCTTAATTGGCATTAGCAATCGAGGCAACATCTTGCACGCAATGGTGATGAATTAGTAAAATTTTACACAAAAAATGTTTGAATTATTATGTACAGTGCATTATCTGGTATCCGCTGCTCTCGTCGTCATCACCTGCTGTAATGTAAACAATGTCAGTTTGTTTAATTAAGCATGCTAATTAAATACACTGTGCAACGAGTGTTGCTTATGCATTACACCACTATTAGACAGCCCTGGTTATGGCACGTATTAAATATGGTAAATTGTATATTACGCGAAAGAACGATAGTCATCGAGCAGATGTAACGTAATTTAACCAGGTATATACGCTGGTAATATTTGCATAAGATATAAAATAGAGGTAATCCCAGTACACGGAGCTTATCTACTTGGCACATGCAATGACATGGACATAATTACAATGCACATTTCCTGGTATGTGACCCCTATAGAATAATTTCTTTCTGATCTAATTTGTATTTGAATGACCAACATAATAATTTTTCTGTGAGTATTATTACCTATTAGAATGGTAGTTTTAGTTATGTGATTCTGTATCTATATTTATATATTGAAATTTACATTAATCAAGTGTGTGAGTTCCAGAATAATTTGCATAAATAATTGAATTGCTGAGTAGATTTGATTCGGTATGCCTCTAGCAATTCGTTCAGTGGGCTCCAAACAAAATTCCAAGCAATGATATCAACGCCGATTTTTTTTTTTTTTTGATTTTTTTTGCAGACGACACGTTGGCGCCGTTCGACTTTTCCTGCCAATAAATAGGCTTTGCCATGGCAACGGACATATGGTATACCTCACAGATGTGTGCTGTTTAACCTATATAATATATTTATTTAAATACGTATTAAAATTAATATTGACGTGTAACACTGATGAATAGAATAGGTTTTGTCACGTGATGTGCTCGACTTTACATGATTCTTCTTAATATTGCCAAATCGTAGTCACGGCTACCAACGTTTAAATACAAAATTATGTTATACACAATTCTAGAACAAAGGGTGTGAAAAAACCCTAACCAGCAATATTGAAAATGGAGTGAGAGAATGACGTCATAACAGGCTGTGAATGTAAACTGACTGAACAATAGCGAGCCAATATATCAAGGGGCGTAGCTTCTGTGAGAAAATGTAATTAATAAAATACAAGCTAATAACACCTGAAATAAACTATACATTAGGGATATGTGAGAATTTATTTCAACGACTTAAGAAAGCAGTAAACTGTGTTTCTATTGTTGTCGCTTCATGTATTTTATTTCGGCATCTTTGATCACCATATTTTATATCATTTTCTTTAAAAAAAATTTGCCGATGTTGTTCCCACGCCGCAAAATATATTAAAGTAATTATTATTTTTTCCGGTTTTCTTGTGCGATTCGGAATAAATAAATAAATAAATAAATAAATAAATAAATAAATAAATAAATAAATAAATAAATAAATAAATAAATAAATAAATATATAAATAAATAAATAAATCAATCAATAAAATAAATGAAAATAAATAAATAAATAAATAATCTTGTTGATAGTTTACATCGTCAAATGCCGCGTGTTCTATTTTGTTTGCGTTTACACCTGTCAGCCGCTCATCCGGGGAATATCGTTTTTTTTTTGGCGGAGATACACGCATGCGCAAGCCCACCTTTGTGCTCTCTGCTCCAAAGCAAATGACATAAATGTGAGATATTCCATCTCGCTAAGGTACACGGACTGCTGTATCGGCGACTGCGAGGACGCATTTTAGCTCTGTCTCTCTACATACAAACGCACCGGTGTGTATCATCCCAGACAATCTGTTTTCGTCGGAGTTTAATAAACACAGCAGAAACAAAATCGACATTATGGCAACGCAAGCAGAACGCGGCACAAATTTTATGGCGAAATTCCGCAACTTGAAAAAACTGACTGCTCATGATTTCATGACGGTATGGGATCACTATGATATGGATGGTGAGTAGCTTTTCATTTCATTTTTAACATTTTTTTAATGATTATATGCCACGTTAGTGTAATTTACATTACAAACGTACACAGTGCGTTATGATAAGTAGCATACGATTAATAGTATTTTTAGATATAGCGATAATCACTTTATCATTCTGTGCTCGTATTATTGTCGTTTTCTCTTCCACATAATTTAGGCAATGGTTACATCGAGGACGGAGAGTTAGATGCGTTCTTTAGAGAGCTGATACAGACATCCGGGGGTCCAGAGGTAAGCAATACATCCCATCACTCCATCTTTTTATTCACACCCTTTATGTAGATATATGTAAAATGCTAACAATCGGAACGTGAAAAGCCCTCTATTTGATGTAGCTTGGGGGAGATGGGAATCGAATAATGAACAAATCGTCGTATATATGGAAGCCTCATGAGTTGATATTCGGGTTACCTAATAGTCCCACTGGCCTTCAGAAGGTTGAACTCACACGCCCACGTTGATTTGCAAAAATAACAAAAATTACCTTAATGTAATACTGATAAAAATTAAATTATTAGGCGTATATAGTTCATATCTATGTAAAAACTCTACCTAAATGTCTAATTACAAACCTGTATTTCAACGCTTTAGGTCAGACAACTTCATTTTAGTATTAATTTTGTTCAGATATCGACCAATCAATACCAATTCATTATTCAGTTCGATGCAATGCATTAATTACATGATAGCACGGCATTGTTATATTTTCCCAAACTGGAATCAAATCCAGGGATGTTTTTTTTACATGGCATTACCACGTTCCGAGGGTATGCCTGAAATTGTAGTTCTATTACATTACTAAACGTAACGCTAAACCACAGCCGTTAGTAATCACTGCCCCCCCCCGATACGTAGTTTTCTAATTTAAAAAAAGACAACCCGTAATATAAAAAGAATGCAAAATACGCCAAAATATAATGTGCGGGCAATGTGTTTGTACCGGACTCATGTATTCGCCGCCACCATCTGTTGCATTGTTAGCAAATCCTAGTAAATATACCATTAATATGGCGAATTGCTTGTTACTGTTAAATATCAGCATTTTACCATTCTACTCTCACCGAAAAATCGCCCATAATCTACATAATGTACATTTATGTGTTTAAAATGCGATACAATTAAATTTAGTTACATGGTTGTACATGCACAGTTCGCTTTGCATCACAGCAGTCGCTGTTTTTTGTTTGTCTTTTACACTATTGTTATTTTTTTCCATTTTCTGTTTGTATTTAATAAGCTACGTGGCGGTAGATATCGATTCAATTTAAGGGCGGCAATAATATCAAGCCAATAAACTGCATACGTACGTCTTTCACAGACTGATACCTTATCATCGCCCTCGTGATTCGTTATGTGATATTAAATGTATAACATTGTTTCGGCAAATGGCACAGTGAAAATACCGTGAGATTACAGGACTGCGCATGTGCATAACCCCACCCAATTAGTGTGAACCACGATCGCTCTATTCGATTGTCAACCATGTATGCGCCACAATTCCGTCTATGTCAAACAAATGTATGGTCTTTTATCTCTGTGTCGTCTTTTTATTGACGTGTGCCAGATAAATGCCAAGTTCAAATAACGAAATTAAGGACTAAAGGGATTATTTCGCGTAATTATCTTGAGAACACAATCACCTACAATTATGTAGCCACTATGTTCAAATTGCCTTTTTCGATGACTTTCGCAGCAAAGTAATGGTTGTCATTTCTCATCTGCCTGAATGGTTATCTAGTCAGCCTCGTCCGAGGGCTATTTGTTATACTCATCATGTTTCTATGTGAGCACTGACCGGGAGGATTAAAGGGGTGAACCCAGCGTGCAACCCACCTAAGACCTTTGTTGCCCATACATATATATCACATAATGCAAATCGGCAATGACATCATTGTAAATACGGGTTCTCTAACGAGAAATGTTGCAGTTTTAATGACTTAGGGACATTTTTAACTGAGGCTCAGCCAAAGTCAATAATTTCGCCGAGGGTCATAACAAATAAATAATTTATCTGCCTTCTATTATTTATCAGTACGGGTATATATCATTTACGCCACCATAATATATCAAGGGTATATATTATTCCACCCACCATCCAGTACTACCCGTAATCTATATTCCAGATAAAACGTGTGAGCAAAATGCTAGATGAATTCTCCATGGATTCCATGACAGTTTGAGGCCTTGAGAGAGGTCCGCAACTCCCCACGGGCAAAACATTGACGACGTATACATGCCACCATTTCTGTACAGTATTAATAATAGATACGTGGAATTTAGCCAAGTTATATAGACTAATATACTGAGATAAAAGAATACCTGGAGACATGTTGCTCGTTTAGAATTTATATTAACGTTCGGGTGAAGATAACGCGTTGTTATGGCAACGGGAGTAGAAGTAGTATCATTGTATTTTGACAATTTTCCGAAAAGCCAAGGCCAGTCACGAATCACGTACGCGTTTTCTTCTTTTTTTGAGTGTTTCCTTTACTATGTATAATGTTTGATATATATGTTCTCGCCTGGGCACAGAAGTAATCACGCGATCAATTGATGTCTAGGCAGAGGTAGAATAGGTTCTAGCGATTTTTTTGTTTTCCTATTGCATCAAGTTTCATATTGTAAAACCAACTTTTTAATGTCATGTATCGACACAGTGCCAAATTGAGTGCATGTAATTATTATTCATATCAGGTTTTATTGAAAATGGAATGTTTCAATCTCATCATTAATTATTCACTGTCCTGTCATAAATTAACTTCTTATCTGGTTATTTTATCACCATCTACTCTGAGGCCATATACCACACCATATTAGCGACCGGGGATGTTTTTAAATACATCGCGCGCTGACTTTTGTGTTTGAATATAACACAAGGGAAGTATAATTTAGCTGCAAATAGTATTGTGTATGCATTACATATTTCATGAATCACGAATCAAGTGGCTCCTTGATAAAGAATGTCTTTTGAGGTCTTGTGAAATTGTTCTTTTTAGTAGGTCAGAGGTTATCCGGATAAAACTAATCTCGTTGTAACCTTACATTCAAACATTAAGATTTGCAATGATGTTGAATATTTATGTCTGCAATTGCACCAAAATACTGATAACGATTTCAAGACGGAATTAAGGATCTCTGATAAATACCCCCCCCCCCGCCGCGAATTCCTGATTATGACAAACTTAAAAATCATCTCTCTATTTTCTTGGGGATTATCAATGCCGCTGAGTATAAATGAATGAATATTTAATGAGCACATTGTATTGTGAGACTTCATAATCTATACTCGCTATTGAATTATTAAGTATGGACAACTCTATGGTAACATTGTAGCTGTATTTCCCAAGGAGATGAAAGTATGCATATATTATGGGAGTGTCTTCGCTCTTGGGATCAATCACATGGTTGTTAAAACCAACAATTGGCATAAAATTAGGATGTCTGTTACACTGTTTACAATCAGTGTAAAAACAAGTATTTGCCGGGGTAAATTATCCAACATTGTTATTGTTACACTTACCCACAGGCGTGGATCCATCTCCCTGGGGTAGTGTAGTGGAGTACTTAGTGAGATTAAAAATCGATAGAAACGGGGATATAATTATATGACAAAACCCACGTCAAAGCGTTCTGAAATATGTTCCGATAACGTTGTTTGGTATGACGGTCGTTAGGTTTCATTTACGCTTTACTGATGTTCACCGGTGTCAATTATATCGTGCGCCTATACAAGGAATAAGTAAATTGTATTAGTAATGAAATGTGGACAGTGATATGTGACGTTGTAATGAATCATGATATCACACTAAGAATTGCAGCGATATAACTTCGATTATTCCCACGACCTTCACTGACTTGATCAATAATGTTTAATACAGCCCCCATGTTGAAAGAAATTGCCTTACATTTGTCACAGAATCGTGAGAAAAACTAAATAAGTTTGACAACTTCTTTTAATTTGCGGAATTGGTTATGCTGTTATCAGCAATTTCACTATATCATCTCATTATGGACAAAATAATAAAATAAAATGATCGGTGCTAGACAAAGGGATTTTTAAAAGCTTTCAATTACATACGCACAATATCTGTAAAATTACAACTAGAGTAAACCGACTCTAAACAGCTTACTTAAATATAAATATACAACGCCTTGATGCCAGAGAAAAAAAAGAGTACAATCCTTACCAGCACCTTTTTTATTTTACCTATAAATAGTTCTTCTCACCGCAGTGGAATTGATTGTACATTTTTTTCGCCCTAATATTGTGTGATGATGTTCATTACAATCTGATGTTGTTTTCCTTGTTTTAATATTTGACAGTATGATGTAAAGATAATATATGCTGCAGACTAACAATTGTTTTGCATGATCATTTTTTATTCTTGTTTGAGTAAATATAATAAAGACAAATATGTCTAATAGTGACACTTTTCCTTTCAACTCAATCTTTGAAACGTAGTATATTGTTATTTTTTAAATCAACTACTATGTAATACGTACAACCGACTACCGGTTCGTTTGCTCTGTCTGATATTTGCATTCAACCTAGGCAGCACCAAATCGTAAATGTGAACTCTGTATGCCGGACGTTGTGTGATGAGTGGGAGAAATTGAATTTTACCTGAGAACGCCATGTGGACGGCGTTTAGTAACTATGCATTAAATTTAATTTCTCGTGACTAGTTTCGCTCTCCATACAAATATTGTCTCGACCAAATATCTCAGTAGTAGTGAAAAATCACATATACCGGTGTATTGAATTTGTCAACACGTACACATTGGGACTCAATTAGGAGCCGGTAATTAGAACGTGTCCTAATTATTGATTCACCCTAGAAATTGGTTTCACGAGCGATACAATGACACTACTGCCACGTGTTTTGTAAATTATAGATTGCATTAAGCTCCATCATTCGCACTTAACTCTCAATCATTGATTTGCTTTATTGAAAGCATGTGGAAACAAACATTTAAGGCCTGAGTGGACTTCGCTTGATTTTTTTTCCCACAAATTCTTTAATGATATTAAACAATTACAGAAAAAAACCCTGAGAATTGAAACACAAACTGAATGGATTACCATGGCAATTTATCAATGGGTCTCTGTATACAGTTTTTCTGAAGAAGTCTGTGATAATAGAACACATTGACAGTGTACAAATGAGTTTCAATAACTGATCAAGGTAGCAAAATTGCTTAATTGAAGTCGAAATGGAATTTTCAGGAGA